GACAATCACCTCACGGATGAGGAGAAAACTGAATGTAGCAGAAATGCGGTTCTACAAAAGGATACTAAGAACATCATCAACGGATTGAGTAAGCAACAAGTAAGTCTTAAAGAAAATACTAACAAACAATATTTATTATTAGAAAGAGATAGCAACAACGAATATGTATAAATTCACTTTCATATGTTTAGCTTTTATTATAAATCGTTTTTAGCTATGCTAACTTTAAGAACTCCTTTAAAGAACAATCGAGCTTCACCGGCAGAACAAATAATGAAAAAGACTTTACGTACAAATCTTCCTTAAACATAGTAAATCTAAACAGAGCCCGCAAGCAAACAAAAATACAGAGACATAGAGAACTATAAACTCTAAAATCAGATAATAACGAACGTATAAAATTGCAGAAAAATTGCAAAAGAAAAGGAATAATAATAAAAAAAACTAAACAAAACTCGTTCATATTTATTAGCTACGGAAGAAGGTACACACATAAAACGCAACAAAAGACATTTGAAAACAAAAGAACAAACAATAGACAATCCACCCAAAACACAGTTTTACTATGAAAACATCTTTAAAACAAAACAAATGAATAACAAGAAAACTTAAAGCTAAATCACAAAATATCACAAGAAGAGGAAAGATAATTAAAGTCCCAGCAAGATTGTAGGATATCCCACAACAAACCAGCCTTACCTCTTTTTAGGAAATGCACTCTTCCTATCTGGTAACATCCGACTTTCATACAAATATAACAAGTATTCATTGGTCAATCACCTCCAATCTAGCTTGCTGATTGGTCAGTTTGACCAATGATTGGTCAAGTTTTTCCAACCAATCAAACCGCCTGCACGAACACGACCAATCTTTTTTCCGCACTAAAAAAAGTTCTCCGGTTTGAGCCGCCCACGTGGTACACGACCATTATATAAACCGAACACGTGTGGGTTTCGTTCGGGGAGGTTGACGGAACTTTGAGTTTTCATTCATCTCTCTCATTAAAAAGGCACGTCTCATTCCTTGCTACCACGTCTCAGCTGCCAAGATGTAACCTTCACCAACTGCCGTCTTAAGTCATTGCTGGCCAGACGTTAAAGACAATTACCAACATTCACGAACTCTGAAATCACTCCTGAACTTTTACCAATTTTACAACTCACAATTCTAAACTTTCTTAATATGAACTCCGGTACAATTAATACCTAATCAAAGGGACACAACTCTGCCCTACCTTTTCAGTTCGCATGCATGTACATCAAACATTAATAAATCTAATTGTTATGTTTTGGAATCATTCAGTTCAGTTTTGTATTTTATTCTATGTGCTATTTACGTCAAGTATAAATTGCATTGCTTTCACGCATTGTCCTTAATCTCATCTTTCTTAGCCAAAATTAAATATTGGTAACACATAACAGCTACATATTTGGTGACACCGACGTTCAAGGAATATACAAGCTATTACATATTTGGTGATCCCGTCGGATCGGAATTAAACAACAATGGTAAGATAAACCACTACAAGATATAAAATATGACAATAATAAATTTTAAGTCTTCGGCAGAATTTAAAAAAAAAAAATTCTTCTTTAAAAGACCGGAGATGTTATTACCTCTCACTAACACTCACCATAAAAATCACCTCTCACTAATACTCTGTAGCAAAAAGGCTTTAAACTTTTTCTCCCAACCAAAGCTTTGCAATCAGCTTCTTCTCTCTCGTCCGCGACACGTGTAGCCAGTTCAACACAGCAGTTAACCGTCTTTTTTTATTTTACCTTTTTGCAGGTGTGCTGGCAACGGGTCAATAAATTAACAAGCTTCACAATTCTTGACGACTGACTTTGCGACAGTTGTTGATACTGAAGGATCGACAGACCTGGCAAAATACGGTGCCCACTTTTTGGGTGGATTTTAGTTACCCGAGTCTCACTCAACTTTTTTTATAGTGGCGCATCCTAGTTGTACAGTGTCGGCTCCTTCCTTGTGCAGCTGTAACCACCTCTGGGTCAGTCTGGTGAGGCGGTCTGCTTGATTTAGCGGTTAATTTAACCAGCTTCACATCTATTGTCAATGCATACACGTCAACCAGTGAGCGAAGTGTTTTCAGCCGTCGTATTATCAAGATCTCACTAGCAGCCCGCATTTTTACACGTGCCTTCCTAGTCAATGTGTCTGATATCCAGCGATGAACACACGCAGAGTCGGTGACCAGGTGCAAGACCGTCATTTGCCATTGGAGGACCAGATTAGTGCCTTTTATCATTGCATCGAGTTCTGCTAAATTAATATGCTTAGCACCTCCTGCCAGACGCAACCAACACACACAAGTCATCCTTCTTATAAGTTACAAGACAGGCAAACTCCCACCTCCTAATATCATTACTACATAGTAGTAAGCTAAGAGTAGTATCAATAAAGATTCTGCATTGTTCAGACCTATTGTTTTATATCGTTCTTATTCATGTTCATTTGTTATTAACACCACAGCAAAATACAAAAGTAGTGAGACCATACGTTTATTGGGATCGTCGTTTCTGACGTTAATGGAGTCCAGAAGCCACGAGACCGCAAATCCCACTTGTTCCTTGGGCACTCTTCTAGCAGTTAAGTCCGCAAATAAAAATTATATCTGCCTTTTACCCATTTGTGGAGACACCAGTTTGTATATTAAACATTCGAATTTAATAGTGTCGTTGAATAATTCTCTTCACAATGTGTCGGTATATGTGTTTGACTTTGTGGAATTTAACTGCACCCGGGGAAAATCTTTATGAGTTAAAAAAAAAAAAAAAACTAATCTGAAATATGGTATCGTATTTGTCATAATAAACATAATGAAAAATTCTATTTTTATTATGTCCTCAAAAGAACCCAGAGAGAAGAAACTCGTTCATTATTGCTATCATTGGATACAGAAGAGAAAATTAGGTGGTATACACCAGAAGCCCAAATCTGCTTCCACTAACCAGGCAAACTTATACACGAAACCATCTCATAATAAACTAAATGTTAGTCAGAGTTTATTCACATTACAAGAAGTCATTAAAATCTTTATTCATGTTCTCTTTGTAGTAGACACCTGCCTCCACAGCCTCTGCATATCATCTGCTAGCAGAGGGTGCCTAATCACGTAGGCTGTGACACTGGTACGCCAACTGTCGACAAAGTCATTAACTAAGAGCATCACACGCAACCTGGTGGTGCTTATGTGAAAGACGAACTCACCAAATACAGTGTCTCAGAATGAAATAACCTGTTTGTCTGTCACTCAATAGGTGTTCGCCAACTTTACGCGGTCTGTTAAAGTTATGGTGAAGAAAAAACATACATAGACACTCAAATTCAGAGATGCCTCACAGGATTGACATTTCAGCAGCCAATTGCTAACAGATGCAGTCGTTACTCCCTTTCTGCAATGTTATTGCTCTGTAGTGCCAGTAATGCTCTCATGTTGGCTTTGTCAATCAAAAAGGCTGGTAGATAGGAGGTGTAGAATTCTGTCTGCTTTGTGTTGTGGGAAATTGAAAGTGAGGATATCGAAATGACGTCAACTGGGGTAGCTGAAGTGTTTTGTCGTTAATAGAGACTACGACACTAGTCAGGTAAGAAAAAGGGTTGGGGAGAGGATTTCTATATTCTTGAAGGATTATCCGCATAACGCTATCTCTCTTTCACACACACACACACACACAATATATATATATATATATAAGGAAATTTTTATGTTTATACGTATTTTTCATAGATACAAATATTTAAGTAAATGCTCTGTCTATAATAAACAGTATTAATGACATTTACCGAGCTGAATGACCGAGAAATTCTCAAAGAAAATATGCGTCCTCCAACAGGAATAGAACCTGGACTACACGGAACCGTCATAAAAATGTATTTTAAATTAATTGTCGGACTTTGTCCATTTTAATAATGTCATATATATATATATATATATATATATATATATATATATATATATATATATATATATATATTAAAGAAGTCTACATATTCAGCGGCGACAGTCTGTTTCATGCATAAACACAATGTTCAGGCTATCTGAACATACGTTCTCTCCCTAATATTGAGGATTTTAACCGATAAATATAGCATATATATATATATATATATATATATATATATATATATGATGTGACGACATAAAATCTTATATATCAACAATATATACTTCACTTGGCATCTCGACATCAGTCTATTTCACAGACGTGACGTGGCTTCTCTCTGTCTTTTCTACAAATATTTTCATGTCAACTGCTCTGAAGAGCTTTTTTCCCTGTTGCCCGGACCACCTGAGTTAAAGTGTGCTACTAGATTGGCATCTAGGTCCCACCCTTTTACTGTTGAACTAGGCAAATGTAACCGCCACATCAACTCCGACAGTTTCTTTTCTTGCACGTTCCCGCCTGTGGAACTCCCTTTTTTTTCCTTGCTTCCCTGATAATTATAATCTTTAAATATTTAAATGCAACGTCAATCGGCATCTTCTATCTTCTTGAACTCCGTCCAGCTTTTATCCTTTCCTCAATCCCCCCCCTCCATACCCAGTCTTTTCTATCATTTTCACTCTCTGTGAGCCACTGCGCGCCAGTGGCATTTTTCTTCTTTGCTTGAATTATGAAATGATTAAAAAAAAAAAAAAAAGAATATTTATAAAACTAGTATGACAAATTGTAAAAAACGCGTCACAAAAAGTTTTTCCAATTTGTCATACTATATATATATATATATATATATATATATATATATATATATCTGTGTGTGTGTCATTCGCAGACAATACTGTTTCGCTGTATCACAGCTCCTCAGTACGACTAGACATCCGAATACTTCAAGCCCGGATTGAAACCCAACCGATCAGTCCGAGTTTCTACCACTAAGCTATCTTCATTCGACAGAGAGAAACAACTAAATCTAACGTATTGTTTTTACGAATGAAAACAAATGCCAATCAACCGGAGTGCTCCAATTCATTTTACTGAAGAGCTTTGCATTGCGCATGGGTCGAAAGAAGCCGTTCGTTTTCGTCTCGCGTAGTTCGGAGTTCCCTCGATCGGGGCCGCCCGCGGCGGGTGCCAGGCCCATTCGGTGCGGACGGCGAGCGTCGGCCTTCGATCCGAGAGTCGGGTTGCTTGGGAACGCAGCCCAAATTGGGTGGTAAGCTCCATCCAAGGCTAAATACCGGGACGAGTCCGATAGTCGACAAGTACCGCGAGGGAAAGTTGAAAAGAACTTTGGAGAGAGAGGTCAAGAGAATGTGAAACCGCCCAGGGGTAAACGGGTGGGACCGCTCACCGTGATTGTGTGTGTGTGTGTGTGGGGGGCGTACTCAGTCCGATATATATAATAAATTTTGGACAGTTTATCCACAACTTCGTGACCAATACTTAACAACTAATGTGAAAATTGGAAAAATATAATTAAAAATTTTACAGACAGATCTTTTCGGATCTTTTTAATCAAACTTGTTTGGATGAATAATTGGTGCCTATATATATATATATATATATATATATATATATATATATATATATATATATATATATATATATTCCGTTTTATATAACAAGTAATAAAAAAGAGACTACAAAAAACAGTTTCTGGAAAATAAAAATTTAGGATTTACACATTATCTCTTTTCTCTTTTTCCCTTTCCTTTTTCTTTGCGGGCAAGTTCAATATTTTTAAGTCCTGGGTATGACGATAAACTACATCTGATCGGGAGATTGGAGGTTTCGAGGAGCGTGGAACCACCTCTAAATTGTTGTTATTCCCAGGTCCATTCTGACCCGGAGTGGTAGCACCTGTTAGGGTCACAGCTCTGGGCAAATAGTGAACCCCCAAAACAAAAACAAAACACTATGAAGTTATAAAAATACATTTTTATAGTAGAATTACCAACAATACATTTTTATAGTAAAATTACTAACAATACCTATTTGTAGTAAAAATTACCAAGCACAAAAGCTGAGTATCATCTACCATGTATTCAACTGTGGAAGCAGAATAACATATATCGTATTTTTATTGCTTCAAAACTCACAAGAAAATTAAATTTCGGCATTAAATGACCCATAAATCAATAAATATTTTTACAAGGTCAAATTTTCATCACTTGCCTCTTTTGGCTCGAGAAACTAATGTGTTTGAGTTTGCTTTACAAAAAACAAACCCTCTTTCCAAACTTCTTCAGACCGTATGATAAACTGTTAGTGTAACCAAAGCTAGCATTTATTAGGCATATCAAAAATTTCATATATATATATAATGACAACAGCTATAAAACTAATGTCTACAGTTTCCACGTTTTTTCTTTTATGAAATATACAACAGGCTTCATGCTTCTCGAAAACCCGTGGGAAAATTTACAACTGCAGAAACATTTTCAGGCTGACTAAGTGTAAACATAAAAACTGTTTTTTTACGCATAGTTATTTACGTCAGCTGTGAAAGCGAAATCCCAACTGAAAAAGGATAAAAAAAATATGATACACTTTCTTGCATGTGTGTTTTTTTTTTATTTTGTTTTTTTTTTTTGTTTTGTCTTTCAACTGCGTCTGATACGAGATGTTTAACAAGTATTTGAATACAGGTTTTTATCTCTCAATGTTTGCTTAAAAACGGCAGATTTGAAAAAAATCAAAGAATTTAAAAATGAACAGTCGCTCCAGAAAGAAAGAAGTCATGAGAACAACTCTGGGTTTCATAATTATTTGTTCCCGTCGGGAGACGAATGCTTGTGTCACAGAACCTTCTCTTGTTTACAAAGTTCTTTCAAGATATACACTATTTATATTCAGACTATTATCCTCATCTTTGTTGTTGTTATTACAACGTTTCGGTCGTTGTGCCCTCCGGCCTTCCTCAGGTGTATATCGATCTGGGGTGACCTACAGAGAATTCTGAACTGAAATCTAATCTCCGGTGGTAGATTCTCCTCGTTCCACTGCTCATGTCTAGGGATATCGTTCTTATTTTTATTTAGTACTGTTTATTTATTGTTCGCCCGTTTCTACTGAGTGTAAGAACATGTAGAGTCAGATTCCTACATTTTTTTAAATCTTAAATTTTGTGCAAGTTAAACACATAGAGGCTCCCAACCAAACATAACAACTGATGTATTTTGATTGGTTGTAAAATATTAATTAGGTGTCGTCAACTACGTCCGAAGGTACCGACCCAAATTTTGACCTCTAGTTGACGCCATAAAATGTAAACATGTTCACGAGCATCACCACGTGACCAAGAGAACTAATAAAAACGAAACTTCGACGCGACTTGGTTAGTGGGCACTTAAAATATTGAATTGAACCAATTCACTTGACTTCATTGGAAATCAACACAGCAAAGGAGACGAACTTTGTCTTCAATACAACAAACCTTGTCAACCATTTCCAGGCTTAACGCTCACTCCCACAAAATATTCTATTCCACAAGAAGAATCTCTGGTTAAAGAGCGATAACACTATAACAATTAGTGAGTCCTGAACAATACTTTTTTTCTATTTAAAACAAAACAACTGTTTAATTTTCCTATAACAACAAATATAGCTAACTACACCTTGTCATTTTCACACATACAGTAGAGTAACTCAAATTCTCTCAGTAACACACACCAAAGAACTCTATTGTGTTTATCAACTTTTGCACTGTATGTATTTGTTGTGTTTATAAAAAATATTTATTGTTGAACAAATTCATAATTTCTTCTACTTGATTATTTCTCTTGCTGTTGTCTTTGTTACATTTGATATTGTAAAAATTGTAGAGGGTCAGTTTTTATTTCTATTTATAACCAATACAAATTGGCTGACCCATGATAAACACACTGCCCGAACCAGGGATCGAACTCACAACCACTGTGTCAGCAAATTCACAAATCAACTCTTTTACCCACTAGGCCTGTAGTAATTGTAAGAGTAAACAGCACTCAGGACAACAGTAAAAGTGCTAAACTGTATTCAATTAAACGAAATTCAGCTACAAAAAGGAAAATAGGAGTTACAAGTTAAATAGCTAACTGGGGCGGGTCCATTGCTTGTACATAGGGAACACAGGATACTACTACGACTATCACAAGGCCATTTATAAAAAAAAATATTTCTATTACTTTAAAAATAGGTTAGTCTTATATAAATGTTTAATCGTCTAGGTTGTTTTGTTTTTTTTTTTGTACACGTTCTTTTGACAGAAGTGTATTTTTAAGAAAGCCAGATTGTTTGAGAAAAAATTGTTGCTTGTGCATATCTTTTACTCAGCGGTTAAAAACCGACAAAATTGTTAAGGATTTATTTTGACTTTACGAAAAGGTATTTTTTCATAATTTTTGGCCAATGAGAAACGTGGTCTCAAGCCCCTGGGAAAACTTGGATGAAGCATTCTGTGAGCCAACTTTTTTTTAATAAATAGAGCTCCGGTCAGCAAAGAACTCTAGAAGGCATTTTGACATCACGGCGAAAACATCAAGACGTTGTGAAAGTATTCAAAGAAAGTTCCCAAAAGTCTCAGTAAAGCACGAAAGAGTGTGAATATAAAAAAAAAAAAAGAGACATTTCCAAAATTGCTATACGTCTCAGAGACGCTCGTGGGATAAATAAAAGGGGTGACAGAATTAATTTCAACTCGGAACCTCAAAAGGGTAATTTGCAGTTCAAGCTCCGCGCTCAGTTTCTAATAAAAATTTTCCGAATAGTTCCATTTAGGTGCAAATGTACATGCTTAATCCGAAAATAACAAAGAAATTTATATAAAATCTACCGTTTTGGAGTTATCGACTAATTGGCGTCGCGATGGGTGACGTTGAATTTAATTCTGCTTTCCAATAAAAGTACGTCGGGTTAGCTCCTCCTAATTTTCTAAACCGTTACTAGGGGACGTTCCCCAACACTATAAATATTCTGCGATAAAATTTTATCCCTCTCTTCTTACTTTTTCGTTTATACGACATGTAAATCTCTCGCGGAAGATCGCGTTTTCCCTTTTTGGGAAACGCATGAACAATACATACATACACACACGTACGCACGCACGGACATTCACTCACTTCACATACTTTGAACCAAAAAGTTTCCACATTCATTTGTTACACACACATTATTGTCTTTGTCACTTGTAACCTTTTGTTCTTAATACATTATAATATTTCTACATTATATATCTCGATTCTTGTTGTTTCTTTATATTTCTTTTGGTGGACTCATACTCCAAGTCTGCCATGTTTGTTGTGGGCATTTCAGGTGACAGACGCGTACACCAGCCTATGAATGTGTGGTTAGCGTGACTGTCATCGGAAAGTGGAAGCGGCGTGTCGAGTTCAAATCCGCGCTAAGTCTATTGTCTTCACTTTTGCACAAATGCCCTTGGGAAAAGCATGAGTTTACCTCTTCTACCCACGCAGGTTGAATTATATTAAGTACAACAAGACGCTAAAAATGAGATTAAAAAATGATATGTTACGACGTACTTAGGTCTGTCGGGATATGACTAAATAGTAGGTTGTGTCAATATTCTTTTTCGTTTTTAGAAACCAGAATGACAAATGTATCATCCTACCGACTAATCATACGTGGCAGTTAAATGGCGTACACTAACATAGATAGATAGATATTAGGTTTAGTCATAAGTAATTTATATTTTGGGGAACCAATTGTAATGACGAATATATCATCCTAACTACTAACCATACGTAGCAGTTAAATAGTATAAACTGATAGATAGATAGATAGATAGATATGAAGTTTAGTCATAAGTAATTTCCACTTTGGGGAACCAGTTGTAATGACGAATGTATCATCCTGACTACTACTCGTATATGGCAGTTAAATGGCGTACACTAACTCATATATATATATATATATATATATATATATATATATATATATATAGAGAGAGAGAGAGAGAGATAGATATTGTTATAGTGGAACACACCTATTCTATAGTTAATAGACTCTCCCACCTATAATAAGTAGGAGTAGTAAGAGTAACGAGTGAGTCGCTCAGTGAGTTGGTCAGTCAGTCGATGCCGGATGGCCGTTAGTCGGATATTAAACTATCAGCCACCACAACTAGATTTCTCTACGTTATACCTATTATATCAAGTTCCTAACGTTTTGTACGTCGAACCTATTTTAGGACCGACTTAGTACAAATACAAGCCTCCACTGTGAAATCACTCCATAACAGATAGATAGATAGATATTAGGTTAAGTAATTTCCGTTTTTGCGAACCAATTGTAATGATGAATGAATCATCCTAACTACTAACTATGTGTGACAGTTAAATGACGTACACTTACATACTATTGATAAATATTAAGTTTAGTCATAAGTAATTTTTGTTTTTGAGAACCAATTTTAATGCCGAATGTATTATCCCAACTTATAAATCCTACGTGGTAGTTAAGAATAAATTTTGAACCCACTATCATACGAGAAGGTTCAACACAAAAGACAGCGGATTGACAAGAATAAATGTCTACAGTAGACCCCAAAATCCGGGATTCATGCAAGAAAGATAATGAGCGTGTGTTTGTGGAAACCTCGGCGTAGTATTCCTTTAATATTTCAAAGAGGAAAACTGACGGTATTAATAATAATGTATCTTCACAATTTTACACATGAAAACCTGTAGAACTTTATTATCCGATATGTATTGAAAAGCTTCTAGAGATACAAAAGCGACTATCTTCCTTTTGTTAAGATAAAGTCATGAAGAGAAGTTGTGATGTAAAGCCCAAAGAAGAAGGAAGTTCTTAGCCCACAGTAATAGGTCTTACAAGACCTCACCAAGTTCATAGATAAACCAATGTACGTCCAGTTTTCCCTTCAGGAAATATTACAAGTAAGACTCTCTCTCTCTTTTCCCACTGCTTGCTGTTGTAGACATGTGATGTAATTTCTCTGCATGAGATAAATGTAAATATGTATATATACTTTTTTCGTATGACTTTTTTAACATAAAACATTCTCTGAGGGCAAAATATGTTTGGCATTCCTTTTCTTTCAGCTATTCTCTTCTGCTTGCAAAATACTGGGTTGTTATATTATGGATATAATGCCAATAGTGGGGGAAACACAAAAAGGAGAACATCCCTTTCTTCTATAGCTCACCTATTATCTGGTGATACCTGACGTGACATGATATGTTATTCACACCTTAATTGCAACAAGTTACTGTAAATAATAGTATATATATATATATATATATATATATATATGAATAAAATGTAATTATAATTCCTGAAGAATAAAGTTGAGAAAAAAAAAATGAAATTATTCATGACACAAACTAACAGCGTAATATATGTGTGGACTAAAGATTTTATATGTGTGGGGAAATGACATAATAATGAATGTATGGATGCTGGAAAATCCAGGTCTTATCTCAGCTTTACTTACAACTGCTTAATAGTGATATCCTGTAAATAATCCTTTAAATCGTTTTGATATTTGTACATCTTAAAGTGGAATGATCCCAAGAAGGCACATTCAATCACATTTCAATTTGTCTGATCACATCAAACAGCATAGTTTTCGTTTCTTTCTGATGGGAGCTTGACAATGATTAGAAAACCTGTTCACTGGACACTTATATACAAATATTCCCCATTTTACAACTTACAGAAGTTACAACAACATTTACAAATTCCATGAGGTGACCAAATATGTAGTACACATGTTATATTAGTGGAGAAAGTGATTTCATTATATATATATATATATATATATATATATTGAGAGAGAGAGAGAGAAGGAAATCTAAAGCAACATATATTAGCATGTATGTATGTGTGTATATATATATATATATATATGTGTGTGTGTGTGTGTGTGTGTGTGTGTGTGTGTGTGTGTACATATGTATATTTAGAGAGCATATCTTCATTCAAGCATGTTTGGTTGAATAATTGGGATATATTATATCTAATTGTTTTTATTTTAATCCACTTGAATTCTTGGATCAGCTTTTTAATGTTGATATTAAATTCATTACATTAATTTTTTGTCTTGGCAATTCACCCCTGAAGATGATCTTGGATAAAATTGAAAGTACTTGGGAAAATAAAAAAAAAATGAAAGAAAACTTTCCTTAATGAATTTAATATAAACATTAAGAAGTTGATCCAAAAATTAAAGATTAAAATAAAAATAAATAGACATATGTCCAGAATATTCAACCAAACATGCCAGAATTATATATATATATATATATATATGACAGAGAGACCGGGGTGAGAGAGAAATAAATATATTCATATACATATAATATATTTGTTGAAAACCATATATAGATATATAGAGAGAAAGAGAGAGAGAAGTAAAGTGATAAATATATTTTACACACACACACACATATATATATATATATATATATATAGATTGAGAGAGAGGGTGTGATAGGTAAAGTGTTGCCATTTTATATTTTTAATTTGATGCATATGTGTGTTTTGTTTTTGATTTTGTTGACTGCACATAGTATATATAGTATAGTAAGGTCAGTTGGGCACGATCTGTGAGAAAATGTGCACCATGATGCAATTCACTCTGCCAGAAATTTGGAAATGGCATGCTGTATTACTTGGCATTCACATCAGAAGCTCCAATACAAACATTTCAAAGTGTTTGGATGTCAATCTGAGGACAGTGCAGAAGATTCAGAAAGAGTTGGATGAGTCTAATGGTGATTACGGAAGTACAACAACTTGCAAAAACTATTTCTGATCATTTTGATAAGAAAAGATCTCTTGAATTTGTTGGTGAGGGCCTCAGACTCAACACGGAAGCCTACACCATGAGTCTTGAGGAGATAGTGCTGCCCTGGGTTAAGAGGGTGGCTGCTGGCAGCAGGACTCTGCATTATGCTGCACTGTCAGACAATTTCTGCAACCTCATCACCCCTTATATCTGGCCACCTAACTCAGACTGCAATTGCCTTTATTATTATGTGTGGGGCATAGTTCAGCAAGAGACCAACAAAACTCCTTGTAGCACCAAAGATGAATGAAAGGCAAGGATTATGGCAGCATTCACCAATTTGAACAAGAAGACCATCCAGAAGAGTTGCAAAAGATTCTGAAGTCGTCTGGAGACTGTCGTTGAAACCAATAGCGATTTTATTGAATAAATTTATTCTTTAGTATTTCAACATATTTTTGTGTAATTTTGGTAAATATATCTATTAAAATGAAATGTCAGTGTTATTTTTAATTTTTGTGTAATTTAGACGACAATTTATCCATCGCACCCTGTATATACATGTCTGTTGATATATATATATATATATATATATATATATATGGAGAGTGATAGAGAAAGAAATAGATAAATATATTTTCTATACATATATTATAAATGTCTATACATTTTTTGTTGATATAACAAAACTATTTCATCAATGCAAAACAACCCGTCCACAGTTAATTATGTTTTCATATTAAAATTGTATAACTTCAATAATTATTGCCATATAAAATATTCTAGAAATTAATTTAGTTCATAGAATTTAAATTCTAATAAAAATTCTTTAAAACAGATTTTATATTTAGAGTTTTTTCCCTTACATTTGCTGATATCCAAAAAACTTTGAACTATTCTAGTAATCAACATGAATTAAAATCCAAGGGAGATAACTTTACAATAACAGATTGAATCATTTAAATATGGTCTAGTTATTTCCCTTTATTTACTGTTGCTAAAGATATTTTTTATTTTATTTTCAGTTTCTTTTCCACCAGTGAATTTTGGAATGGGGAGATTCTGAAAAGTTCTGTCTAACCAAGGAGAATCTTCTGATATTTGGTCATTTGGTCAGATCCTCAGAAATTTGTCAAATCGAGAAGATCTCAACAGCTCCTGGGACAATACAATTTTTCGTTGCATATTTAGTTACATAAGCAATTGCTAAACAATTGCTGACAGAATAAAAATCACAAGGAAAATTAAATAAAAGGGAAAAATTATCAGAAATTAACAAAGATTATTATTAGATTCGCGATCTCTGTATTAACAAAAGATGAATATTTTTTAGACAGTGAATAAGTTAGTTTAAAATTAATAATTCATAAAATCCATGCTTTTGAGTTTTGATGCACCCAGAAAAAAATCTAAAAATGTAAAACATGGGTTTTTATTTGGACATTTTAACTATAAAATTAATATTAACTGTGATTCAGTCATAAATAACATGCAATGAAAACATTTGGACTTATTAACCCTTTGAACCCTGCATTCCTGAACAATTTTATATATTTAGAAAAAGACAGGTAAACAAAAACCCAAGAAATCATGACAAATTACGAAAGTGTCGTACATAAAAACCAAATTCAAATATCGAAAAGTTGTTTTAATTTTAGAAAAAGATAACAGAAACGAAAAAAAGAAAATCAAGATTTAAGCCTAAAACAAGATTATGAAGTCATTATTTAACATACAATAAAATAATTTATACAGCCTTTTTGATAGTGCTGACACTTTAGCTATCAATTGATAAAAAAAAAATGAACAAGAGTAGAAAATGCAAAGTTGATAAATATAACTTTAGGTAAGCAAAAACAGAAAGTAAAAATAAGACAAATGATCTTCAGGTTAGTTGTACAAAAACAAATACTTTTTTGCAGTTAAATTAAATCCGTTAATTTTTTTAGAGTTTAGACAAAACGAATCATCTTTCCTTGAGTTCAGAACGTCATGTAACATTGACCTTTTACAGATATATTTTTTAGTTATATCTGAAAATTACCTTTCTACC